TTGGAAATATCGTCCCCATCTAACCATAATCCTCATTCGTCAGCCGTATTTGGGCATACTATGTACAGGCTGAAAGGTAGCAATGGAGTCCAAGGGCCCAAGCTTTCAGAAATTCGCTCCCTGACACAGAGCCGAAATACAGGGGGCATGAAGTATGGATGTTACATTCCTGCGCTCAGAGTTCTGACTATCTGCCCTTTTTACCGAGCAAAGCTAATAGACGTGCTGTCCGCTTGACCACTCGGAGAAAAAGCAAAGAAACGAGATCGGCCAAATTAGAACTCCAGCAACTGGAATCAAGGAACAGAAAGAAAATAAATCATAATAACTTGGGATTTTGGCCATGGCAACGATCATTGCTCAACTGGAAAAGCAAGACGAGAAAAAGTGCCCAGTCCTGCCGGGAATGCTCACTTGTTTCCATTCACCCCAAATACTGGACTTATCGTCTATCGTGTTTCAAATGCGAGTGTGTGACGATCTGCGCGTATCATTGTTCAGCCGTGGCAAGTAACCAAAAACGGAAATGATCCAATTATGTTTGAGGGAGCAAGGGTAAATGCGACAAGTTTAATGGTCCCGCAAAGATCGGAGCGGTAATTGTGCAGGGCTCAAGGTCAAACTGCGGTGTCGTCTTATTTCCAGCACACCTCTGGAGGGTTGGTGTGGGTACCAAAGAAACCATCCCTTCCGCAGTCTGAATTGACAAGCTCCCAGGAGGATCACATTTCGACGGAATCAAATTAGCAGGGGCTCGTGTCGTCAGAGAGGGAAATGTTGCATGTGGGCTGAACCTGCAGTGGTCAACTTACCTCGGCGGTTGCTTATATGAACTCTCCCATCTGCCTATTTTTCTCTCTCTTCTGAATTGGTGGTGATCCCTCGCTTCTTCCCTTATTAAGACCTCTGCCCCCAGAAAACCAAACGCAAACGGTCCCGAGACTGGCGATTGTGAAACGTCTCCAAGTCAGACCATCGCAACAACCCCTTTTGTTGCACTGGGTGATTTTACTCGCAATAGCTGCCCGCCATGTCGAAGGCGGAGGTAACTGGAGGAGCTCCTTCTTATGACGATGTCACGAAGGAAGTCGACTCCAAGCAACTGCAGTTCAGCGAAGCCGCTGGCCTCTATGGCGATGCTGAGACTGCCGAACGCTATGGCTATGTTACTCGTGGGTAAGTTTCTCTCACTTGAGAGTTCATCGTACGGACTAGTATTCCTGGAACAAACTACTGACAAACCTAACAGTCTGAAATCTCGACACATCCAATTTATTGCTCTGGGAGGATCTATCGGCACGGGTCTCTTTTTGGGTATTGGTCGCGCCCACACCCAAGGTGGCCCGCTGAGTATTCTGCTTGGCTACTCCCTCACTGGTGTCGCGATCTTCGGAATGGTATGTAATCGCACGTGCCACCGCAACGCGAGTTGTGACTGACTTAGATCGCAGATGATGTGTCTTGGTGAAATGGCAACTTGGCTTCCACTTCCTGGCGCGATTCCTCACTTCTGCGGACGTTACGTTGATGAAGCCATGGGATTCGCTGTCGGCTGGAACGTAAGTACCCTAGTCTAATCGATTCGAACAACCAGGGGGGGAAAAAGAAAGAAAGAAAGAGGGGAAGAGAGAGAAGAGAAGAGAAAATCCCTCAGGCGAACCGTGGTGGAAATATTGTGGTCGCCACAAGTGCTGATTCAGGAGAATAGACTTGGTACCAATGCGCAATCACTATTTGTGTCGAAATTGCTGCCGCTGCCCTCCTAATTGAATACTGGCCAGGCGCAGAGGACATTAATGTCGGAGCATGGATCGCCTTAATTTGGGTTCTTATCATGTTCCTGAATGTCTTCGCCGTAGCTATCTATGGTGAGGCAGAGTTCATATTCGCCAGCGTCAAGATTGTCACCATTGTTGGTCTTCTCATCCTGTCGCTTATTATTGATCTCGGCGGTGGTCCGGACCATGACCGTCGAGGCTTCCGTTACTGGAAGAATCCTGGTGCGATGAGAGAGTATGTTTCTACCGGCGCTGAAGGGCGATTCCTTGGGTTTTTCTCGACGCTTGTGAATGCTGCATTCTCATTTGGTGGCGTAGAAATGGTTGCTTCTGCAGCTGGTGAGGCAGCAAACCCACGACGAAACATCCCCAAGGCTGTACGAAGAGTATTTTGGCGTATCATTACCTTTTATGTGCTGGGATCTCTCGCCATCGGAATGTTGGTGCCTTACGACGATAAAATGCTGCTGAATGCTCAAAATTCATCCAAATCGAGTACTGGTGCAGCCTCCCCATGGGTTATCGCCGTCCAACGTGCGGGCATTCCGGTTCTCCCTTCCATCATCAACGCCGTCATTTTGACCTCCGCTTCTTCCTCGGGTAATGCATTCTTGTATACTGGTAGTCGCTATCTGTATGCCCTGGCCCAGAACGGCCAAGCGCCGAGGTTCCTTTTGAAATGCACCAAACTGTGAGTAAACCTTTGAACATCCGTAAGTTTGTTGTCAGGGTTTTCTGACTGATTCTTTCATCATCTAGGGGTGTGCCGATTTACTGTGTTTTAATCACGGGATCCGTCGGGCTCCTCACATTCATGTCCACCAGCGCCGGCGCCAACACGGTTTTTATCTGGTTCCAGAACCTGACCACCATCGCCTCGTTGTTCACCTGGGTTTCCATCTGTATTGCTTGCATTAAATTCCACCATGCAATCAATGCACAGGGAGTCGACCGCAATACAATGGTTTTCCGAGCCCCCTTCCAACCATATCCCGCATACTTTGCGCTCGTCTTCTTCTCCATAATCATAGTTTTCAACGGCTTCGACTCCTTTGCCCCCAAATTCAGGTTCCAGGGTTTTTTCACCGCATACATTGGCGTCCCAATCTATTTCGGACTATATTTGTTCTGGAGAATCTTTAAAAGGACCAAGTTCGTCGATCCCGCAGAGGCCGATATTTGGTCGGGAAAAGCTGCTCTTGATGCTGTCGAGTGGCCCGCAGATAACCCCCGAAACCTTATCGAGAAGATATGGTACTGGATTGCATAAGTGGAGAACGGAGTGAATCATGGAGGGAAGCCTCAGCATGTCTGTTCTTATATCATTAATGTAGGCAAAACGCCATTATGTGTCTCGGTTTGTATGCCATTTCTTTCCACGAAATCTGCCCACAGGGGCATAGTCATTTTCAGTTTCCTCATATACTCATGTATATCCCCCCCTTATTTTATTCCATTCTCTCTCTCCCTCCCCCGCACTTGCCAGTTCAGTCAGCTTTTTAGTTCTCTTTCAGTATATATCTCATACCATGACTGAATTTCCATCTCTGGCCGCAAAGAAATGACCCAATTCATTTCATCTCATCCGGTATGTCCTACCGAATATCCTGATCCTCGCGCTCAGATGGCGAGAAGGTCATCGGCTATACCTCCTGAGTACAAAAAGGAAGGAATATGCCTGTCCCATCCAGGGTGTTGCTTCGTCCATGGAACAAAATGCGTTCGACACCGTCGTCCCTCATAACCAACCACTGCAGCCAATGCTCGGCGATCATCACATTGAATATCCTCCACAGGCTCCTTGTAAGAAGGAGGTGAGCTTGACCTTTTCCCTTAGAGACGTAGCTGGTATATCAGAGGCATGAATTGGGATATATCGAGGACCATAGAGTCATCGAGTCATAAAACAATTAGCTCTACAACAACAAATAGAGCTGATGCTGGTGTGTATTCAACTGCATTGGAGGATCGCGGTAGGGAGGAGGCAGAAACAAAAAGTAAAGGATGGAGAAAATGTAGAGGAAAATGAGGCAGCAAAAATCAAACCCTTGTTCAAGCTCTTAGGCTTTCATCAGCAGTTTTATATCAAAAAGAGGGGATATATCGTATGTATACAAGCGCGAGGAGGCCATCTGACTCATTTCATGAGATTCCACTGGGCCCGTTGCTTTTCCGGGTTCCAGTTGAACATAGTTTATATTAAAAGTTGAACATGGTTCATGCTCAGCCTAAAATCTACACAAACTAAACGTGGATTGCGGATCGTATATATGTTGCTCATTAGAAATCATTCTCCAATAGTTATTTTAACGTCTGAAGTTCCGGAAAGCTTAACGTTATGTCGATTCCACTTCGTGTTGGAGGGGGTGAAGGGGCGTCGAAGGGCGTAGACGCTAGTCCTTGATCCGAGAAGGCATCTGTTGATATATAATGTTGACCTTCCACGTTCCCCACCAAACCTCTCCCTCACCCCTAGCCAGCAGAAATTCGACCTCGTCTCAGTTGATATCCGTGAGTATTATTCGTTGAGAGAACTCCGCTATCTATGCGGAATACGGGATGGGATTACGCCACCGCGAAGTTACGGTAGATCTTGCGCGATCATGTTATGCCAATAGTTAAATTTCCCTTTTTTTTTTTTTTTTTTTTTTTTCCAACTCCGATGGAAACAGAAGGAAAGCAGGAATATCAACTGTAAAAAAGAAAATCGAAGCATAAAAACCGTGTCGATGAAACAACTTCTGCGCAGGTATGGCCCACTCTCTGTCGACGAGATGGATGTCACTGCCAGACAATTTACCCACTGTCTTTCATGTGCAATATGGATATATGCAGCTAAGTTGAAACGATGGGACAAAGGAAATATCAGTACATGACGCCAGTTCCATCTTCGGAGACAAGAAAAAAAAAAATTACAGGAAGAAAGATAAATATACTGTATTTGTGTGAAATGAAGCCTTCTTAAGTGACATGCTTGAATCAGCTTCCCAGGGTATATCCCACAGAACAAACACGGCAGATGGAAAAGTGAAAGGAAAATGAAGTGAACCACTCCACAACAGAAAAGAGACAAAGGAGAAAGGATAAAAGAGAAACAACAGCGAGACCCAGCCGCCAGCTCCTGAACGCCATGCACGCGCCATCTTGCATTGTATCATTTGTCATCGCACTCGTAACTAATCAAAATCCGAAAATCCCAAATTCATTTGGGCAAAACGATAATTAATCCACACCAGCAGGAAGGTCCTTGAGTATTTCCCACCCATACTCTTCCTCCGGTTTCTCAGGCTCCATGCCCAAAGCATTGCGGTATGCACGAACCTCATTCTGCAACCCAGATATAATCCGGATGGGGACTTCTTCTTCGTCGCAGCGAAGACGGTACGCGGTGCGGATCATTTCAGAGCATCTCATTGCCTTAGCGTGCCAATTGTCTCTGTCCAGGCGGCTCTCGAGGTGGGCGTCACGTTCAGCTTGGAGGAGATTACTGTAGTGGCGTCTCTGGGCGAGGTAGTGCATGTTATTGTTCTGGCAGTAGTTGCGGATCTGTTCCACCATAGTGCCGACGGCCGTTTCGTACTCCCCAATCAATTTGGTGTTTTCTATCTGTTCCCGCTTGAGGGCTTCGACGAGGGATTATTCTCGTGCGAGCGAGCGCTCGAGTTCTGCGATTCTGGTGACTTTGTGGATTGAGCGTATATTGGTCAGATCAATGGCAGTCGTAGTCCAGGTGGTTGTTAGAGTGGCTCACCTGATACTTCACCGTTGACCTGTTGGAGCGTTGGACTGGCACCCTCTGCGGCGGCGCGTTTCTATGAAAGACAGAAAAGAATAACAATTAGCTTTTATATGACACTATTCGTTTCGCTCGCACAAACACATGAAGGGGAAATAACAGAAAGGGAGCAGGATCGCCAACCATAATTTCCTCAGCACTGTCAATAATCCCTTTCGTCATGTCGCGATTATTTTTCAACACATCACTGAGCTCCAAAACCATCTCGTAAAGATGATTGAGATCCATTTGGTGTCCGGCATTGACTGGCATCCCGACGTTCATCGGCGCCATTCCCCCATTTTGGGTAGAAGGGGTACTGGGACTCGGGATCTGACGAGACATGCCCGCCATGACGGGACCAGACGAATTGAAGCTATTGCCGTTATTGTTGTTATTGCTGTGATCGTAAAGAGTGGCGAAGGGACCCGTGCCAGCAGGCGAATTGGAGTTGGGAGAAGGGGGCGGACCTGTGCTGCTGGCGCTGCTAGAGGTGTTGCTGGTCATTGACATGCTTGCAGAAGAAAACGCGAGATTAAGCTCCGTTAGCTCGTCGTCCTCATCGGCGGCGTCGAGAGTTCCACTACTTGTGGGTGAAATGCCTAACACCTCAGCGCGAAACCGGACAAGGTCCTGTTCGGACACTAGCGACCTGGCTCGACGATGTCGAGCAACAAATCCTTGGCGTTCAATAGACGTATTGGAGATTTCGACAGCACACTCAGCGCTGTCTGCATTCCCTTCTCCTTGTTCTTATATTAGAGCTGTTAGCGTATCATGGACTTTTCGTAGGTTCAATATTTAATTTGATGCTTTGGAGCCATGGGTGAAGGACAAACACATCCAGGGTTATGTCTGCTTACTAACCTACATTCTCAGCACCGTGATGCCGCATCACTGAGGGGAGTTTGTATGGTTGTTCTTGGACTATGAAGAAGTTGATGGGAATAGATGGCACAAAGTTAACAAGAGCATCACAAATTAGAGTTGAAATGATGTTGCCGGTCTGTTTAAAAAGAGTGAATTCATGTAGAGACATGTGCCATGGCAACAAGTCTTTAAACATCACAGCCAATAAACAAGAACAAGATTCAATTCACTTCTCTTCAGTATCGCTAGAGTCCTTTTTGAAAACTGCGACTCCAACTGCAGGAAGAAATACATGTGCTTCCCAATTCAATCAACGAGTCCTGACAGCTGCCCTGCATGTTTGATCAAAATCCAGCTGACCCAAAATTGACGGCGGATACCAGGCTCTAAATATGCGTACATGAAGCTGGACATGAACCAGCCTAATCACCTCGATCCACACATCCACAGCTATCCTCACGAAAATAGACCTAAGCGGGAATGAAGTGTTTGCTGCTTGTCACATACATCTTGCGTAGATGACTAGCATTGCCTGTAGGCATGGACGGCTAAAGAGATTCAATCCGCTAGCAACTTGAACCATACTCCAAAGTCCACGATATAGACCGGGAATTAGCTCGATCAAAACACTGGACATGAATAGCTCTCGCCTCTCCAATGAATGTCTTTTGCATAGGGACGTAAGATCCCTCTCTTATCCCTGCCGGTGGTCCACCATGACAAAATAAACGCGTATAGTTTGAGCTTGAAAAGCCCTTCCGGCGTCTCAAACCCTAACTTCCGCAAGAAGGAACCGAGTATAACACCAATGGGACAATGTCCGGTAACGTGTCTTAAGTCATATCCAACACCGCTGAAAGCTTCGCATCATGATCATTGATCGACTGGGAAGCCCCTTCAAGTTCAGCATTCCTACCACCCCTACCAACCCGGCTCGTAACCTTCGCAACTAGCATTCTCATTCGGTCAATCTCCTGGCCCAGCGGACTATCCCTGGTAACTAAGTTCGGCTGGATGTTTATTTGCGGGTCCTTGAACGGCTCCAAGAGTTCTCTAAGCAGTCTATACTGCGTAAGCCGCTCTTGCTGCTTTTTGCGCTGTTTGTCGAGTTCTAATAGGCGCAGCCGTAATTGTTCGTATCTGTCAAAGACTCAGTTAGGAATAATATGTTGGTTATGAATGCTGGAGCGGATAGTACTCTCGAACCTGACTCTATCGTCCTCACCAACATCGTCATTTCCATCATCACTCCATTTTTCTGGGAGTCGAGCGATACTCCTTAGTTCTTGTCAGCAGGCGGCATACTATCTATGACACTCCTCACATGAAGTGCTGGCATGTGAACTTCATACATTGAATTCGACAAATCAGTGCCCTTTTCTATGACAAGGCCTTGCGACAGCTCGCCACCAGTCTCTGGATCAATTGAATTCCAATACAGATTTTCGATTTGACGGGCGACATGGTGGATAGCTTGTGACGAGAAGACTGCGCGATTATGTTTCTTTAGAATAGCGTTGACTTATGATGCAAAATTAGCTGGGTTGAGCTCAGCAGGCATGGGAAGAAAATTCAACTAAAAACCAAAAAGAAATGCCCTCGAATCCGTTTAAAGGAGTATAGGATATATCATACATTTCTGCAATACATCTTCTACTATTTTATCAGGGATGTTATCTTCAGAAGCCGGACCATAGTCGTGCCAGTCCTCCGACGGTGTGAGAGCAACAGATAGGATGCGAATTTGGTTTCTGACGAATTTCGACTTTATCTCTGTGATTGTCTTTGAGGAATCCATGCTTGGACATACAAGGACGCGTTCAAAATGTATTGTTTCTAGTTTGATAATATGTTTATGGGTTCTCAATTTATTTTGGATCGCGATGTTGTTGGATGCACGTGACTTTTAAGATCATCAAATCTGATAAGATAAGAGAGATCGACTTCTTCCTCGGCCACCATTTGCTCCAAGAGTGTTTGCAACACGAAATGACACCATATATTATTATATACATGGTTTACGGGATAAAAGATTACCTTGATCTTCCCAGAAAGATCGAACAGAACGTTAGACTGTTCGTGGGGCCACATCTCTTATCGACCGTTAACCTCGGCAAAAAGGACTAAAGGTTGTAGGAACTTGAATTGATCACGAATTTATATGCTCACTTCATGGCATCAATTCAAGTTCGTGTTTCCCGATTTCTCGAACGAACGTACCTCTAAGCATCCTCAACAATACTAGTACTGGTATATTTTAGAGCCCGAAGATGGCAGGTACCAGACGCCCAAAGGGGCTTCTATTCGACATTGGTGGTGTTTGTGTATGGAATCCTCAGTCTCCGTCCAGCGATTGCCTTGGGAATTTATCTAATTATTTGCAGGTCGTCTCTCCATTCCAAGCCATCTTGGACTACGAAATCGCAAACAAAATTCCAATTGGTTGGGTTAATTACAGCATCCAACAAACTTCTCCACACGGCGCATGGCACAAGATCGAGCGCGGGGAGGTGAAGCTGGACGCGGCGTTCTTCCGAGAATTCAACAGCGATTTCCAACATCAGCATCTATGGAAATCATTCCATGCTTTGCGGCAGAGAAAAGATAATCAATCGTCATCATCGTCAACATTTATTCTCCCACCCCTCCCCAAGGTGGATGCAGAATATCTTTTTTGGGAAATGATGCGAGTCGCCCGCTGCCCAGATCCATTCATGTTCCCCGCTCTAGCGAAACTACAAGTATCGGGTCAGTTCATCCTCGGCGCGCTGTCAAACACGACAATCCTCCCCGCAGACAGTCCAGTAGGTCCACCCGTAGATGTAAAACGGTTCTTCGATTTTTTCATCTCCAGCGCGCATGTTGGGCTGCGGAAGCCGGATCCCAAGATCTATGCGCTGGCGTTGAAGGAGATGAACGATGCGGCGAAGAAGAAGGAATGGCCGGGCCTTGTTGAGCCTGATGATATTGTGTTTTTGGATGATATTGGGATTAACCTCAAATGGGCGAAGAAGGCAGGATTCCGGACTATTAAGGTTGATTTGGGTAAGTCGTGGGATGCGGTGAAGGAGCTGGAAGAAGTTACTGGTATGCAGCTGCTAGCGAACGATGGAAGAGCGAGATTATAAATGCAAGGAGACCATCTCTTTTGGAGCAATTTGTTGAGTTTTTGTCTCGATTCGATCAAACATAAATACATGTTGTATTGTATGTACAGTACGTTGACTGCGGGGTCAGGAACGAGATAGAATAGCAATATAGATTCATGCTAGTGCAAAAGAGCAATTCCCAGACAACTATCGATTCAGAAATCGCCAATTTAATGTGCAATACAAATGCGTTGGTTTTTCAAAAATAAATTACCTCTTGGTGGTTCCCTGAACGCAATCTCGTCACCAACCCCAGTGCCATCCGCAACTTTGGGAATCACCGCGCTAAGCGAACACACAAAACGAGACAGCAAAATCCCACAAAAAAAGTTGGAAACGACTTTTTCTCCCTCCCTGTCCAACTCGCCCGACATCCAGGTTCAGTAGCAACTCGACGCACCAAACCTATCGGCAAGATGGTAAGTCCTGTTTTGCCAGAGCTGGCGTTGAATAATCGCGGTCACTCATCCCCTGTTATTCCTTGAGCGAACTGGAGGAAAAGAGGGAGAAATAGGGCGGGGGAGTCTCTGCAAGATGCTTCGGAGGGAGAATAAATAAAAAGAATTTCTGAAGCGCAAATTGCTGACTCGGGACCTTGTTCTCTATGGGAAAATTGTAGCCTTTCACCAAGCTCGTCAAGAACAGCGCTTACTTCAGGTGAGTCGTCCTTTTTGTCCTTTCTTCATGCCCAATTTCCACCCGATACACAGAGACAGTTTGAGTTTTACTGATAAAAATCCCGTTAATGTAGCCGGTATCAGACCAAGTTCAAGCGTCGCCGGGAGGGAAAGACCGACTACTATGCCCGTAAGCGTCTGATCACACAGGCCAAGAACAAATACAATGCGCCCAAGTATCGCATGGTTGTCCGCTTCACCAACCGTGACATCATCACCCAGATCGTCACTGCTGAAATGACCGGTGACAAGGTCTTCGCCTCTGCGTACTCCCATGAGCTCAAGCGCTATGGTATCAAGCACGGCCTGACCAACTGGGCTGCCGCCTACGCCACCGGTCTCCTTCTCGCTCGCCGCGCGCTCAAGAAGCTTGGCCTGGACGAGGACTTTGTCGGTGTCGAGGAACCCGAGGGCGAGTACAGCCTCACTGAAGCCGCTGAGACCGACGAGGGCACCCGCCGCCCCTTCAAGGTCGTTCTCGACGTCGGTCTACAGCGCACTTCAACCGGTGCCCGTGTCTTCGCCGCCATGAAGGGCGCGTCTGATGGCGGCATCCTGATCCCCCACTCCGAGAGTCGTTTCCCTGGCTACGACATCGAGACCAAGGAGCTGGATGCGGAGACTCTGCGCCGCTACATCTTCGGCGGCCACGTGGCTGAGTACATGGAAACCCTTGCCGACGACGACGAGGAGCGCTACAAGTCCCAGTTCCAGAAGTATATTGACGACGACGTTGATGCTGGTGATCTTGAGGAGATCTATGCTGAGGCGCACAAGGGTATCCGTGCCGATCCGTTCAAGAAGGATGAGGATGCTGGACCCAAGAAGACGAAGGAGGAGTGGAAGGCCGAGAGCTTGAAATATCGAAGCAAGAAGCTTACTCGTGCTGAGAAAGAGGCACGTGTACAGGAGAAGATTCGGGAGTTGGCATAAACGGGATGCAATATGTTTTCTCTTTGTGCCTGTGATCTGCGTTTCTCGCTTTCTAATGTGAAAGGATCTGGCAAAAGTTCTTTTTACCTTCAACAAGCAAACGTCAGATTTCAAGGGGGAATGAGGAGAAGATTATATTGAATTTGGTAATGAATGAAATGCTGAGAAAACGCGAGCTGACTAAAAAAATCTTTTTCTTTTTTACATTTTTTTCCATCACCAAGGGAAACATATAGCTAGCTACACACGGATGGATGGTCGAGAATTTAATCGGAGTGAACGGACCGGGCTTATTTCTTTTCTCCTCTTCTTTGCTGTATGTGTTCATGGAGTTCCTTAACTACAAATGATATCAATGATTTTCTTTCCCTCCTGAGGCAGAAAACATAGTATAACCAATCTTCCACAGTATCAGTTAACATGTAGATGAGCGGCTCTATGTCAACAGGGAAAGAAGAAATGAATATACATGTCCAGCGTTCCCCTGATCGAAAATATTGTTTCCCTCCTTTTCAGGCCTCAAGTATAGATATAAACGAATGCTTTGGCCCTTCCCACTTCCCGCTCAATCCATGGTTGTACAGAAGAATGAAGGAAAATCAAATATATCTGGAAAATTTTCAACTTAAAAGGAGGTAACATGGGCGCGGTCACTCTTAAACATGACAATACTTAAATGTTCTAACAATTTCCCAATAAGAAAATGCCCTTCTTTTTTTTCCTAAATTAGAGGGTGAAGCGTAACTTTGAGTGACCTGTCTTGAAATAGCTTCTGTATGCCAAGAAATTAATACCAAAGAGTAAAAAAATAAGCCTATTAGAGCAAGCAGTCGCCTTCTGCAATCCATCTAACTATCCATGTTGTATTATGAATGGAAAAAAAAATAAAGAGAAAGAAAGAAAGAAAGAAAGAAAGAAAAAGAAAGAAAAGAAAAATACACCGCCGTTCGTAATGGGGTGGCGAGTGAGAACGCTTGCGTTTACAGCGTAGTTTTCTTCACCTAGAACTAGCTGAATACGATCAATGTCAATAGTAATCAGCCAAAAACCACGTCGTCAAGAATGGTCGAACTTTTTCTTTCCCGCCTTCCTGGATTTGAGATAGAGAAGAATGGAAGGGCTTTCCGCTATTCGGTCCTTTTCCTCTTCCCGCCCATTGCCACCATCAAGCACTCGAGTAGGGGATTACGGAGAGTCAGTCGGTTACTTCCAAATCATGTCACTTGGGGAGTCTTAGGCCGTGGCGTCAGTGGGCAAGTGTAGACAAGTGGAGGCAATTGGAGGCAAATCTTGTAGCTGGCGTGACGTGACAGTCTCATTTTTGCTTGCTGGGTTTCATAAGCCTGAATCTCAATCTGGAACTGAGGTGGGTGTAATGTCTGCTGCTTGGCCCATTTTCACGCGGTCAGTCTGCAGAGTACCGGCTGGAGGGCATCATTTCCAAGAGTATCCGTATTCTGTACTAAAGCACAAGATAGTTTCTGGCAGAAAAAAACCGTCATTGGCAGATCACCGTCTGTTGGAAGCAATGGCAGGTTGGTTATTTCGTGAAGCGGGCCCACGCTCTGCTCCACTGCCCCTGATTTGTGCTGACATTGGATGCGATTTTTGCGAGACTAAATCTGCACACATTAACTACTCCGTATATAGATTTTAGCTGACCTCCTCGAACGTAGTTAGCTCGGCTGAACTGCTGGTTAGTTCCTATGACGGAAGCTCCACCGGGGATTCGTGATATGAGCCTTTGACAAAAGCCATGAATCAAGGAACTAAGGTCTCCCTGCCGAGAATTTATGGACCGTCTGCCGCTCTATTGCCAGTGGCTTTTGTTCGAGGCAAGAAGAAGCCTCAGAGATGGTGGCTATCAATGTTCTGGTTGAATCTTCTTTGCTCTGGAACCCTCGATTGGACCCATAATTGACTTACGGCGTAAGCTCCATTATTGCAGTGATGTGGGCCCTGTTAGGCCCTTTTACGGAGTACAAGATTTATGATTCTTCGAGCTAATATCGCCTTGGGGGAGAACTGTTCACTTGACACTTGTATCTGAGGATTCTAACACGGCGCCAAAAAGATATCCGGAAATATTTTAGCATGTTTCTGCCTATACCTCAGAGCAGAAGCCCAAGGCAGGGAAGAGAAGAGAGGGTCCCCGATCTCACAAGCTGCCTGAGCCGTTGAACCGCCGTTGCTTGGGGGAAAGTAAGAATCCGAATGACCATCTCGAAGGCTCTGGAACTGGTACTAGTAACTAAAGGATGTATCCCTAGCTTGAACTGGCGTCGAAAATGAGCGCTCTCCCGCATCTGACTAATCAATGCCCTTAACTAACTAAGTGCCCCATCAACCACCATCGGCTCACTCATTATCATCACCGCTATATATCACACACACCTCACTACATTCTCTCCGCTCCGACTACTCCCAGTCATGTCGCTTGTTCCAACCTACCTCACCCTTCATTCGATGGTGGATCCTGTGCCGCAGCGTGGCTGTTGACTTCGTTCTCCGTCCATCGCTCTGGCGGTGCTGCTCCTCCGCCGCTCCGCATATCGGGAATATTGATATTATAATCCCCTACCCTCGCCGCTAATCTTCTCGTGGTGAATAATATTCTAATTCTCGTCGCCTCTCCCACTTTGCAAGAGCGGCCGTCTTCAGATGGCACATATCTACCTTGCCACCCCTGCTCCCACTAATACCGCGTTTTTTATGCCCCCTGTCGCACCCTGATCTCACCCCACTCCATGCTCGTGTGAGCTTTTTGCGCTGACCCTTAGCTGAAGCCCTCCCACTACGGCCATTCATATGACACAATCTTGGCTGCTATATCGTTGAATACCGCTTATTTATATTACTGATAGCAGCAATACCCTCGGGAGCCTGCATTCTTTGATTTCAAGAAAAGTGGTGTCGTATGTTGTCCAAGACATTTGCGCGATGGAAAAAGTCGATACTGTTGATGTGAGCTGGTTGCATCATTCTCAAAAAGGTACATCCTTTTCTCCTCCGGAAATAGTGATACTAGCGAATTTGTTCGGCGCTTGATATAGCTGATGGAGTTCACGTTGAATAACCCTAACTTGATTACTATTAGACAAGCTCCTTCGAACCAGATCTGCCCCTTCGGTTTTACCAAATGTCCCAGAAATGATATCGTCAGAACCACTGATCCTTGCAAGCTCATTCCCGACGAAAAATTACGAACCTGCCAACGGCGTTTCAGAGGTCCCTACGTCATTAACTCCGCCGGTGATGGATCCGCGACAGACTCCGCCAAAGCAAAGGGATGGAACCTCGGATGCGATGGGGAAGAATGAATCTACTCCTTCGCTTGTTCCTGCAGCTTCGCCACCCAGTGGAACTATTGGAAAATCTCCAAGCACAAAGCAACTTGCCCTCAGTCGACGCAATTCGTGGATATCCACTTTAAGTCAGAAATTCTCATCGAGCGGATCGGCCCCTCCGGCTCAAAGCAATGGGAAAGATGCCAACGCTAAGCAACCAGCCCAAAGCCCAGGAACAGAGCTCCCTAATCCTTTCGGCGCATCTTCTTCTCCCAAGGACAAGACCGACAAGCCAGATGACACTCCGGTCCCCGTCGATTCTCGTTCTCCAAAGAGCCATCCTTCCTTCTTTCATAATGCCTTCCGCAAATTTTCTTCGTCATCATCACAACCTGTTGGTGGTGGGTTAGGAAAGATCGCGACACAAGGAGTAATTTCTGAACGGCGGATTATGAATGTCGATCAGCATCGCGATAGATGCAAGATCGCTGAACTAAATGAGGCTAAGCTCCGACGTGTTGCCTTTTGTGTCGATGTGGAAATTGCGGGGACCTCCCGGCGGTCTGAATCCGAAGTGGAAGCTCCATCACAACAACCTACGGAATCAACTTCTCCCCAGGCCGCGCAGCAAGCTCCTGCGAAGAAGAAATCAACAATGGTCGATCAAATCAGAGCTTTCAAGAGACAAGACTCTAAAGCAACGGGAAAGGCTGAAGACGTAACCCTTAAACCACTGGCTGGCGCTCATGGCGGACCATCCGATGTAGCTCCGAGTACCGATGCTGCAGAAACGTTACGGTCGGCTCCTACTAAAGAAGGTGAGAAGGCTGTTGGTGTCAAGGAGCAAACAAGAAAGCAGGAGAAGAAGAAGAGGTCTGAAGAGGAGCGAAAAGAGCGCAAGGAGAGAAAGAGAAGGCAGGCGGAGGCGAATGGAGCTATCCCACTTCAATTTACCCGTGACAAAGGACCATCTTCTCTACATTCCACGCGAGGCCAGGACCAACCAACGACTGACCCTCTACGAATATATCGCCGATGCTGTCAACTACGGGAAACTGGCGTTCTAAAAAAGCTTGTTGAACAGATATCTTCACAATCTTCGGGCCTCGCAGAGTCGCATGGTACTGTTGCTGTGCTAGATCTAAGTGGACTTTGCATGACGCTACCGGACGTTGTTACCTTCGCCGATTGGCTTGCTCTCGTTCCCGTCCGCAAACTAATATTACAAAATTGTGGCCTCACTGATGAAGCGGTACGGGTTATCCTTTCTGGATTGTTGTCCACAAAAACTCTCGAAGAATCAAGGTTACGAAGACATTGCAAGAAGCTCGGCGGCCATGTATCCCACAGTGGGGAGAGAGCTGGTGTAATCGAAAAGTTGTCTTTAAAGGGTAATCCCAAGATCGGTAACGATGGATGGCGGCACATCGCGCTTTTCATTCATATGTCAAGATCCCTCATCGGCATCGACCTATCAGGAATTCCCTTCCCGCAGGCTCCGGTTCCTGCGAACGGACCAACTAGCCCCTTACCAAAACCCAGCAATCCAACGGTAGAAGTATCTACGGTTTTCGCGAAGGCGTTAACTGAACGGCTTGCGGGAAACCACTTGGAAGAGCTAGTAATCAGTGAATGTTATCCGTCTACTGAAGATCTTTCCAAAATTTGCGATGCGGCGACGACTGTCGAACTTCGAAGATTGGGAGTCGCAAACAACAACTTGATAGCGGAAGGATTGGGACATGTCATACGCTATTTGCAGGCTGGTTTCTGCGAGGGACTTGATTTGGGAGGAAACAATCTCGGAGACCATCTGGGATCGTTGTCGTCGGCAATTCACAAGATGAAAGACCATCCACTCTGTGCTTTAAGCCTGGCAGATTGTTCTTTAACACCAAAGCCTCTATATTCCCTTCTCCAAGCACTAGCGGGGTTGCCAAATTTCCGATTTATTGACCTTTCCCATAATCCGAACCTGTTTGCAAATCAGCCGGACTCGCTTGCAATGTTACGACACTATCTTCCACAAATGGCTGAATTGAAGAGAATACACTTGGCGGACGTCAGCCTCTCTCCAGATCATGCCATTGCTCTTGCGGAAATATTACCTGATTGCAATCGGCTATGTCATATCAATATTTTAGAGAATCCCGCCATTGCCGCCTTGGCCGCAGCCAAGGACGCCCCTGCCCAGGAAGAGGCTTGCGCATTATATGCATCATTGATGACAGCGGTCCGCGTCTCACATACCCTCATCGCAATAGATATTGACGTGCCGGCTGCAGACAACAATGAAATTGTCAAGGCCCTAGCAGCCCAAATTGTAGCCTATTCTCTTCGCAACCTCGAGCGTGGTGAACTTGTGAAGGAACTTTCTGACGGCACAACTATGGAAGAACACCCCGTCCCCGTTCCAGATATCATCAGACATATTGTTGGAAACGTGGATGATGAGGGGAATGATCCGGCGAAACCAGCTCCTGATGAGGATTATGTTATTGGCGGTACCGGGCTGGTAAAGGCTCTAGGAGTCTGCCTTGGTAATGCCAACCACCATTCTCTGGAGGGTATGGGCGATATAACCCCGCCTCCCAGCGGCATGTCTAGCCCACTCCATCGCACAAGCAGCGTTGGAAACAAAAAGCCGCGTGACATGTCGAAGAACCTCTTAAATTCTGCCCGGAGAATCCGTGTTCGATTGCAACCGGTTCTTGTTCGAGAGGACAGGGCCGGCAATGAATCGAAGTATCGTATGTTATCTTCATTGAAGTTTTTGCTATATTTCGTTTATCCAAAAAGCCATAACTTACAAATTATACTTTCTTGATAGGACGACTTCAATTTCTCGATTTTACCCTGCAAAGGGTAATCCAACGCTTCGAAGATGAATTCCCAGATACACGCCTTTCTGCCCAATTAGATCCCATCAGAAGTTCACTTCCTCAACGGACTCCGTCCCACTCATCCGTGGGCGATTATGGAGAACAGTCTAAACTAGACCATTCCGCAATTCTTGCCCCAACCAACCTAAGCCAGAGCCCAGATAATGATCAATATCCAGACACAGCAATCGACGATGAAGAGGCGGATCGTTACTCCATTCGTTTATCTCGCACGAGCTCAAACACATCGCTACACTCGAAAGCCCTCACCTCAGAGGAAGGCAGAGTTCACCGCTTCCAACAACATATCAGAAGGGACATCATTTGCACTGACCTCGAAGTTGAGGCGGATAACCCCTCCCAAGGCCCGGACGAGGCGCGAATTAACGCCTTACGTGAAAAGCTCGAGCGTCTCCGGAGTTCTGAAATGCGGTCTCGCATCGAGCTTGTAGGGCCTGATAAAGCGCTCGAAGAGCTAGGGGCGAATATAGAAGAATTGCTTGCGCTTCGCGAACAAGATCCGGAGTCTTTTGAAACCTTTAAGGCTAGCCAGATAGCGGCACAGATTAATGCTGGGTTGGTAGGGATGGGATGAAACCTTTCCCGACCCGACTCACCCCCGATGGGTTTCTTTCTCCTGTGGGACAAACGTAACCCAGTCTTTCTATGCACGGTTCACGTCAGGATACGATTTCACCTATTTATCCAATATTCCGTTTGATTTAATACCTACCAGTTGACAAATTTACGAAAGTTTTGCATATCGTTCACTCTCTGCATTATATATTGATTACTTATATAATTTATACGGTTGTAATTCACTGTCCATTTGACCCCCCTGTACATTGCCCTCCACTCACGAAATGCCTGCACTTGGTTTTGGGGAGACAAACATGTTCCCCCCTGGGGCTTTTCATGCCTCCCGATCCCACCTTCGCTTCCATTCTGTGGAATATCCTTCTTCCATATATATGCAAACTTGCATCTGTGAACCCGCTTGCAATTTCATGTGTTTGCGGCTTTCTTGCATTTGTGGTTACGCACACAAGTCTATATTACTTTTGAATGCGGTATCTCTCCTCGCATTTTTGGTGATCGACTTGAGTATTTCACATCAGCACTGGGAGTACAGCGAGAAAAACAACGGCGTCTTAAGTTTACTTTTATTTTTAACTTCTTACAATATAATACTGATGTTCATGGCGTGTGCCGTTCTTGTTTCTTTTTGTTTTCTCCCGGCGTTCTCCGTTCTTCCATATTCTCAAATCATCTCTTTTTTTCAACGATGATGCGGAAGCTCTTTTGTGATGTACGTATTTAGCGAGGGGAAACAAGGCCTTATTTCATCCATATTTCAATCTTCTTTCTATTTTGATATAAAATACTGGTCCATACACACCATCGCTTCTTAACCCCGGCGAAGGCTGTTACGTAATCCGGGACAACCTTCGGCCCGACCTTTTCTGGTTCACATGCACGCAAAACCGCCGAGTCAAGTGACAGGGTTCATCTTCAATTCAAATCTCCTTCAGTGTTGCTCTGCGTTCTCTTTTCTCCTTTCCAACCTTCTGCTTCGTTGACCTAATTGACTTTTGTTCAATTACGTATAGTTTCTTCTTTATTTCATTTTCATTTCATTGGTTTTGCTTTGCTTTCATAGAGAAAAAGCTGCCAAAGATAGCTAGGTCATCCATGACTCCATAGCATCACTGGCTAATAAAAGGTTCCCTGCGTCCTTGCAACATGATATTTCTATTTTAGTTCTTTATTTTTTTTTTTTTTTATTTAGCTGGTAATATAGGACGACTCAGGAAAGACGAGGCCAGTAATTACGTGATTTCTTTTTTATATATCACTACGTTTCACAACGTATCAACCATCCCGTTATTTGTCACCAGCCACGAACCACCGATATTTGCGCGGTTTTCACTTTTCCAATCCTAGACTAGGAGCTTCCAATATGGCTGTGCAATCCAAATTCTCCGTTGCAGATGCATCCCTCAAATCTCTTCTTTCCTCCCTCACTACCCGTTACCTCAAACACCGCAAACTCATCTCGAGGGGCGTCTACCTAACCCTCTTCCTCGCCCTCATCAAGCGCGTCCACAATGCAATCGCAGAGCAAAAGGCGGCCTCTCAGCGCATAGCGGAGATCCGCGGACGGCCGGGCACGAGCAATATTAATGGCAACGGGGATGGTGGAACTGAGGATAACAATGGCAGAGCTAATAACGGGGCGGAGAGCCTGGCACGAAAGAGCGTGGGGTTGAATTGGGAATTCGTCAAGAATCTCCTTCGTTTGTTGAAGATTATTATCCCCGGATGGAAGAGCAAGGAACTGAGGTTACTGGCTAGCCATTCGATTTTTTTGGTGCTGCGCACGTTGTTGAGTGTGTATGTTGCCGAGCTGGATGGGAAGATGGTTAGTAGTTTGGTGAGAGGGAAGGGGAGGGAGTTTTTGCTGAGCCTTACGTGGTGGATGGCCGTGGCTGTCCCGGCGACGTTTACGAATTCAATGGTATGTAGCTCTGTTCATTTCCCCCTTGGTTAGGCTTGCTCGCGAATCGTTTCGGGAGCATGTGGAGTTTATATGGATTGTGGTTTTGCTAACCGTCTTTTGGTCATAACAGCTTTCTTATCACCCATGTCAACTAGCTCTTCAGTATCGGAAACGTCTGACGGATTACGTACATGACCATTACCTGGCGAACATGTCCTTTTATACCCTGTCTGCCTTGGATGACCGGATCAAGAACCCAGACCAACTCATAGCGGTCGACATCTCGCGTTTTTCAAATAGTCTGGCAGAACTGTACTCTAACCTCGCCAAGCCAATCCTTGACATGGCTATTTACAATTATTCGTTGTCGAAGAGCGTGGGTGGTGAGGGTCTTTTCATCATGTCACTCCTTGTCCAATTATCTGCAAACGTGATGCGCATCCTCACGCCACCTTTTGGGAAATATGTTGCCGATGAAGCACGGTTAGAGGGAGAGTTTCGATTCCAGCATACGAGACTTATTGATTACAGTGAAGAGATCGCTTTGTACCGTGGCCATGAGGTGGAGAAGGACACTTTGGACAAGGGTTATTTTACACTCATAAAACATGTGAATCGCATCTTGCGAAGGAGGCTGTATTATGGCTTCATGGAGGACTTTGTGATTAAGTATTTCTGGGGCGCCCTTGGGCTGGCTTTGTGTAGTGTTCCAGTTTTCTTTAAGCTTCCTGGGCAGATCGCGGCGACAATGGGGGATAGGACAGAGAGTAAGTTCCACATACGCGCTATAAACGATTTATGTACTGATTTTTGATGCAGGCTTTGTCACCAACAGGCGGCTTCTACTATCTTCGTCCGATGCCTTCGGGCGGGTGATGTTTTCTTACAAGGAAATTTCGCAGCTAGCCGGCCATACCGCTCGCGTAACATCTCTTCTAGACGTCATCGATGATGTTGCAGCTGGACATTTTGAAAAGAAACTCGTTTCATCCGCTTCAACGGAGGAGAACGCTGCGGTCCTCCGCGGTCGCGGCACGATCATGGAAAACGATTTCATCGAGTTCGTCGATGTCCCTATCGTCTCTCCCAACGGGGACGTTCTGGTCCAGAAACTATCTTTCACCGTCTACCCCGGCGACCACCTCCTCATTGTTGGTCCCAACGGATGCGGGAAGTCCTCTCTCTTCCGAATCCTGGGTGGCCTATGGCCTGTATATGGCGGGACCGTCAAAAAACCCTCATTCGAAGACATCTTTTACATCCCACAACGGCCCTACCTGTCCCGCGGCACATTGAGGCAGCAGGTCATATACCCGGACGGCCTACGCGAGATGCGCGCCAAGGGCGTCACTGACGAAGATCTGTATACGATTCCTCAGTGTAGTGAAGATCGCTTTCCATCGTTGACCGACCGGGGCGGGGTGGGATGCGGAGGAAGAGTGGCGCGATGTCCTTTCTCGTGGGCTACAGCAGCGCGTTGCCATGGCGAGGCTCTTCTACCATAAACCCAATACGCTATTTTA